TTTTCAGAGTGTCCCTGCTCACCTCAGCTAGACGCAGGTCCTCCATCTTGTTGAGGTGCCGCTGCATAGCCTCCCTGTCCCTCTCCAGCTTCCTCTGGGCATCTCTCAGTCTCTCCAGGTCCTTCTGGTACTCCTCCTTCTTGTTCTGCAGCTCCTGCTTCTCCTCCTCCAGGTCCTTCTGCTGCTTCAGGATTTCCTCCTCCTGCAGCGGTTGATACGAGTGTAGATTGATTTATTGAACTGACAGACACGTGAGGCGTCACATCGTATGTTTTCAGCTCCTTTCCTTTAGTGGAAACCTGCAATAACTGAGCCTGAATGAATAAAAGCTAATGACTGCCTGATTTAATATTGTCATCACATTCAGTGTCTCAACCTCTCCTTAATGCACGTTTCCCCATCAGGAAAAAATAAGCTGGAAAAAACAAAACTGAAGTCTAGACTTTACCAATGCTGACTGAATAATTTATTGTCTCCTCATAAATGAAATCAACTTCATAACTCCACAGGTGCTGCTGCTTGCTGTGCATTATGAAGCTGATCACAACTGCATTTAACTTGGTGATTTTAGCCCACAATCAACTTATTATCCTTTAAGTATTCAAACTTTGGGGACACACTGCAGGGAAAAACACGCGCTGGTGATAATGAGTGTGAAATTCATTTAAACGAACAATGACCCACTCGACAGATGCAAGGATATACTGCTCATATCATCCAAGGTGCAGTCACTACCAGTAAACAAACCATAGACTGCTGCTCATTTTGCTGTTTACACCTGCAGCATATGATCAGCGTACCACCCTGAACTTTAATCCCTAACCCCATCAAAATAAAATTTCTCCAAAGTCAAAGCAATCACAAAATACTAACATTGTTATTGTAAGTATCACGATTCAGGTGTGTTTTTTCAAAATGTACGATTAGACGCAACCCTGTGGTGGGTTAGAACTCGAGGGTTAATCCAGAAGTTGTGGCTTTTTAAAAGAACCTTAATCATCTCCATGTCTACTCGAATAGTTCGGGTTTCTTGTACTGTTGTAATGCTCAAACTCTTAAACATGAGTTTCTTTGCAGATCTGGATGACTAAGTGATCACTATTTTGTAATCATTCTGCCATTTGGCAGTAATTTAACATGGAAAACAATAAGCATAAATTGCACAATTGAGCACTCACGTGTCTCATTCACCCACCCACAAGTTAACATTCAGACAGATGATGAACGTGTCAAATATCCTTGCCCAAGGATACTTTGGCACACAGACTGGAGCAGCCAGAAATCAAACCACCAACCTACTAGATGGTTTGCTTTACAGCTGCCCTAATTCACAAACAGAGAGAATGTTTACTGCATGTTGTTCAGCCTTTAGTTAGTGCGACGTTTCAGCCAGCCGTGGAGGTGAATCTACTACCACGCCTTTGCAGCCTTGTCAGATGAAATTTGACCCTGCAACTTTTCTTTCAGCATTTCAAGCTTGTCAGTGAAAGCTATATTTGAAGGCAGTGTACCATCTCTTTAAAGCACCACAGAAGACTTTAATGCCCTGCACAAGTACGCATTGTAATTTATCAGATAAAACGCTGCATGAGGTGAAACACTGCAGCATGAAACCATCCTGGGGGGTTACTGTCAGAATTATAGCTGCCCTGAAACTATTAATAATAAACAGGGCTAGTGGAAGATGATGCATAGTTACCTGTGCGTGCACCTGTGCCTCCCTCTCAGCGAGCTGCTTTTCCCTGTGCTCCCACTCCTTCTCTCTTCTCCTCTTCTCCTCAGCATGAGCTGCCTGTTGTCTCTGCAGGGATGCCAACTCCTGCCGCTGCTTCTCCAGGCTGCGCTGCTTCTCCTGTTCGATCAGCGAGCTGGGCCGGGAGGACGGTCGTGATAACGATGTGCAAGAGGACGAGCGCTCACTCAGGGCCTGCCGCTGGTCCTCTATGAAACTGTCCTGCTGGACTACCACTGCCTGTGTTAGACAGAGCCACAGAGATTAGGTTAGACATACCCATCCTGTGGATTGTGGGGTATTCTGCACTGGCTCTATGTGGATGGAGGTCTTTTTTCTGTTCTTTTCATTGGAAAGCTTCACAGACTTGCATCATGTCAGTTCTGATCTGGAGCGCTGGATGTATTGTGATGCTTAGAAACCATCATACCTGCAGAGTGCTTAGCAGAAGATGCAGGTTGGAGACGCTGTGGAGGACCTGCTGTTGAAAAAGAGAGAGCAGTGAGTATAACCTCAAACCTCCGGCTGTGTTCTTGTTATCCAGGAGAAAAATCCACTTCGGCTGCAAGAACAAAGCTCTTTGATGTTGCCTTACTTACTGCTCCACATGACATGTTAAAACTCACCATTATTGGTAGCGGTGTTTTATACAATATCAATTTATAACAATATGCTGATTTAACTTTACAGAGATCTGGACTTTTCTGCGCTCAGATATTAGCACAGTAACCTTGTATTTGTCATCCGTGTTTACAAGGACTCAAAAGGGATCCAAACCACGTTACTGCGAACTAAACAAAACAGCTTTCATAAAGTGACACGTCTGGAGGAAATGTTGTGGTGTCACACAGAATATTTTAATGTAATAATAAAAAACTGATTTTACTACAGCAGACTACGTCCACACGTACACGGGTATTTTTGAAAACGGAGATTTTCCGTTTTCGTTTTAAAAAATAATCCCGTCCACACGTAAAGGCAGAAATGAAGGAAAACGCTGCTAGGAACATGACAAAAGCAGCAGGTGGCGCTATATTCCTAACCTGTAGAAATGTTGGCCAATCAGAAGTCTAGAAGCCTCGGTGGGAAAAAGTAAACAAAGCTGGGGCATAGAAGCAGAACCGAGTCGTATGTGTGGAGGGACAGTAACTGTGTGTGTATATGTAAGCATTTAAACACTGCAGAGACAATTAACAGTAACAGTATTGTAGAAATTCATTTCACCGAAACAATAACGTGGCGCACAGTGTGACGTCAAAAAATGCGCACACCTTTGACGCTGCGTTTTCTCCGTTTTTCTCGTCCACACGTAAATGCAAAAACGGAGTTTTCAAAAATATCCACCCTGGCCGGAGTTTTTAAAAATCTCAGTTTTCAGTGACCAAAAACGCCGTTTACGTGTGGACGAAAGGTGCAAACGCATAGAAAAATCTGCATTTTCAAAAATACCCGGGTAAGTGTGGACGTAGCCTTAAAGTTGTTTATAGCTCCACGATAATAAAACCACTGACAGATGAAGTTACAAATGTTGATCTTCTTTGAATCGTTAAGTCTTGCATTATTGTAAATGCTACTTTAATTCACTGACCTACACATCATGACTGACTAAGCACACACATATTATCAAAAGCACACAAACCACCAGGAAAATGTTCCCTGCTTCACTGCAAAAAAATGTTCAGGAATAGCTCAACGAATATGACAACGAGCCAAAGGCATCAATACACCAGAATAGGACCCATATCTGCAGACAGAGGCATGTACAAAGGGAGGCCACGGAAAGCCTCCTTAACTCGTTTCCCCCTTGGACTTATTCTAGGGGTAACCCTTGTTTTTCTTTGCTAAAGACTGGCTATTCTGACTAATGAGTAATTTTACTTTTTAAATAAAATACTTTTAGGAAGCAACCAGATACAGAAGAAAAAAATTGAAGAAATAAAACAATTAGAACTACTTTGGGCATATTTTTATGGTTAATGTTTTTTTATACTTAAATAAGTTTATGACTTATTCAAATAAAAGGTTCTAAATACCCATTTTGCCATTTTGCAAAACAGCTCAGGGCTGGATATCAGCTTAAAAATTATTCACAGTGATTTTTGCACGGATTTCCAACGATGTATTTCTTCCTGATCAAATGTTCTAATTTGCTGTTGTTCCTGCTGTTGAAAATGCTCCCAAAGCTGCAAAAGTCATGTAGCCTAAGCTGTGCACCATTTATGGTTTTATTTCGCGTGCAGCGTTAGCAACATGAAACACAAACAACTTCACCGACCCACTAACATGGTTTTAGACTTTTACTCTTGTATTAACTGCTTACTGTTCTTTGATGCTGCAAAAATATAATATTTATTAGTTAAGCCTTATTTTTTCCTGTTATTTTACAGCGCTACGCTGCATGAGCTGCTTCTGATTATTGTGCATTTTAATAACAATTTTCACTTAAAACTCTTCCTACTTTTATTAAATGACAGCTTACTTTGCTTGGCACACGCTCACTTTCACTTTGAGCTATTTTGTTATTTATTACTTAGCAGAGCTTTTTACAGAAACAGCAGTAAATCCCTAAATGTGGGCAGCAGGGTCGTTTAGATTAAGTAAAAACAATTTCAAATTTGAATTTATAAAAAAATTTATATGCTGTTATTGATGGAGTATAAAAGTGTTTGATAGGTGGCAAAAGGAAAGCTGTTAGCGGCAAATCAACCTCAACAAGTGAATAATAATAAATAATAATTAAACAAGTCGATCAAAACCAAAAGGAGGAAAAAGTCCATCACAGTTCTGAGTCATGATCAGTGCTGTGGTTAAAGGTTTGTGGAAGACTCAGATTTCAAACTGGGCCAACGCATTCTGGCTGAACTTGAGCTTTACTGCTGTTTGAGACAACACGCTGATTAATGCCGATAACAATGCCGTTGACACAGGGTTTTGGCAGTTTCTATGTAAACAGCGACTTGAACTGAATTAGACACAGGAAGTCAGTGTTACCTCACTGTTCCTCTTCAGCAGCTGCAGCAGGTTGGCGTTTCCTCCCTGCACACAAACATTAAGACACACTGAGTAAGCTAAAACACAATAATATACTCGCATGCAAACATCTGCTCTTGTGTACAGTATGCGTATGTGGGCCTGTATACTGTATATATCACTGAGCGAATGTGATTAAAGTTGCACATGTGGGTGTGCTGTCAAGTCTAATTGTTCCTGGCCCTGATTATGTGTGACGGATTTAGTGCCGCGCCGCTTTATTTTAAATGGGGACGAGACGAACGGTTCTAAAAAGGTATTTTCAGTTTACAAAAGAACGGCACAGACCAACGTGAATACAATAGAAGATGGAAGGCTGGAATCAACTCTGCATTGTATTTTTTAATGATGACTCGGACTTCTGAACACCCTCCTTCTTTTACTGCTGAACTCTCTTTGAACTTTGGCACCATGCCTGGGGTGAAATGTTAAGAAAAATTAAATGCTTCCCTTCTGTTTTCAGAGAGCAGCATTTACAAGGAATGGCCTGGTGAATAGCTGGCTCCTTTTTCTTTATTAAACAGCACATTACGTTTACTGTAGCCTGTCTCTGCTAAAAGATTCAAGACACAATAATGTGCAGTCCAGCTGCTGGTATATGCAGTATAAATGACTACAAAGGCTGGCATCCAGTGCAGAGCTACAATAGCAGCACCTAAAGGCACTCCATTCATTTCCATCATCTATTGAATCCTACACAACTGATGGTCGCCATTAGCAACGGGACCTGGGAGGAAGAGTCAAGAGGCTAATTCATTGGAGGGAGAGAAGCAGTTAAATTCATCTTAATGGTATTGTTAGTGTTGGAGGACAAATGCACCCCCACACATGCCCTCAGGTTCTCTGTGACGTGTAGGGGCACATTGGCGTCAGAATCAAGGAGAATAACTGGCTGCTGGGATGCAGACCTTCTTTAAAACGCTGTCGGACTCCGTCCTGCGCAGGTCACCCGCCATATCCTCGCTCTCATCTCTGTCTCCACCTGATATAAAGAGAAACCACAGGAAAAAAAGATGTGATCAAGAAGAGTGCTGCAAGACAAAAGGAGAACTCTAAGAGCTAGAATATGAAAAAAGAAAAATGTGACTGGAATTCAACCAAAACAACAGGCTATGTCCTCAAATAAAAAACCCAAACAAACCCAACAACAGTAAGCTGCTCTGCTCAGTCAAAGTCAAATGCTGGGGGAAAAACCAAACCAAAAACAGCTGGGTGAACAGGAAAGGAAAGCACTGCAGATCACAGGTTCACCACAAAGAAAGAAAACACACAGAAAAAGATCCGAAACACTGCAGTGGTCAGATGTCATGTCAATGAACAGTTTAAGTTCTTTGAAGTATCGGTGAGAGCACAGACTTATATGAAGCATTCCAGGTAATCAGGTGACAGCAGACAGCCACGACATGTAGACACAGGTCTGCAAAGCTCTGTGTATCAGCTACAGACTACCAGCACCAAATCATGCCAGGACCTTTAGCCTCTCCACAGCTGTGGCACATCTGCAGGCTGCTTTGCAACCCCCACCACCACCCCAGATCCTCTTTTAATGCTAAAACGTAATCGGTGACAATGTCTGTCATTAATGGCTGTTCTGTTATGGCAGCTCATGTTGCCTTTCCTTCCACATATGTGCACATGGAAGAGCGGGAACGTCCCAGAACAGAGCCAAACCGCCAAATCTAAACTACTGCAGATGGAAATAACAACCTCTTGATTACAATGGCCCTGACTGAATTATGGTTACTTATCAGAATGTGGGTGATTAAATGCAAACTCTTTCTTCTTGGTGAAAAGTTTTGGTGGCAAATGTGAGCATAAATTTGTAACTGAAAAGCAAAATTCATGTTTTATGAAGCAGGATGGAGACTTAGTGAGTAACTACAGGTTGCAAAAATCAACCTCTTCACATCCATTTTTACTAATTTTGTAGTTTTGCTGGGTTGTTTTATCCACATTTGTCATTTAACACCACCAGGACTGCAGCTGGAAAAACAATGGCATCTAAATGACACATGGATTTAAATAAATAAATACACTGCAATTATAGTCAAATCTCCACATCTTAATGACAGAGCTGTGATGCTGAAAGTCTATTAACTTATGCAGTCTGCATTTTGACCAATTTTCCTTCCGGCTTCTAATCAGGCTCCAGAAGAGGAACAAAATTAGCTAAATGAACACTAAAGCTTTAGCTTTTATCAAAAGAAAAAAGCAGTGTGTAGATTTGTAACTTAAACAAAGATTTGGTAGACGTGGTGTACAAATTAAGAATTTATTTGGTGTTCATACTGAAATAATGTGAGGCGATATAATGATTAATATTAATATCAACCGAGACCTCAAGCTGATCAACCCCTCCCTGCAAGGAAACACTTTTTCTCTGCACCCTGTCGTTTCCGACAAGGTTAATAAAAGTCCTTCGTTTACCATTAGAGAGAGATCCTGTGCAATTTTGTGTGATAGTGAAATTCTATGATTTTAAAAAACAGAAATGACACTTAAAATTGGGGGAATCGTAGATATAATTCATGCTTTTGACACAGAGTCGACTTTCTTGGCGGCCATCATTTCTTTGGATGTATGGGAAATGAGAAATTCTCACTACATTTCAGTGAAAAGCAAAGTCTGACAGATCAGTGCAGCAGAGCAGGCCATTCAGAAATGCAAGCTCTCAAACAGTCTGCAGGAGAGCTTTTTGTAAACCCCCCCTCCCCCACCACCAAAAAAAAAATCCAAAGTATTACAGGTTTTATATTGTCAACAAGTGACTCCTGTGAAGGTTACAGCCGGGTTTGCTATGTCAATAAAATAAGTGGCTCTCACATAGTCTCTGCGGAAATTCGGGAAGGAATCAAAAGATTTTTCTGCTGACCTACATTCATGTTGTGTTTATGTTAATGTTGAATCTGCCATACCATCTGAAAATTATGCTCCACCTTTTTCTTTTACATCCTTTTAGTTTTGCTGCTATTCTTTGATTTACATTTTCTTCCTTCTCCACCTACAGAGACTTGTGTAAAGTCTACATTTACTTTAAAATATAATTAACAGTCAACACATTTATCTATCTGTTATATTCCCTTACATTAGTCTCTATATTTCATTATGTTTGCTTATTTAAATAAATCAAGGCTGCAATAGTGTTTAAGAGACATATCCCTTAGACAAAAATATCATTGTTTAGCTGTAGTTTTCCAGGTATGCTGGCGATGTAGAGATCTGGACCTCTTAGAGCTCTTGTGGTTCAATGGATTCGACACTATCAGCTTGCAAGCCACCAGTTCAGAGATATCGCCCCAGGCCACCTTTCCCTCAGGAAGCTCCAGCTCTGCTGTCCAAGCCTCCGTCTGAAATGTTTTATCTAACTGCTCTGAACAGGGGAATTGTGGGGAGCGGTGGGTATGACCACCAAAACCCCGTTTCAAGATGAAAAATGAAATATTCCACTTTTAAAAACTGTGCTTTGGCTTTCAGCAGTGTTGTTACACATTTGCAGTCCAGTCACCAAGTCGGTGCAGTTATCTTGACAAGCAGGTGGGGGTTCAGCATGTTTCACTGCACTGCATTGCACAATGTTTAAAAAAAAAAAGAAGAAGAAGAAAATAAAACGTAAAGGAAAAAGACACCAACAAATGTCCAGAGCAGCACACTTACTCTTACTGCTGTGCATCTGGTGACTGTCGAAGCCTCCGAAGGTCTCAGCCCTGCGGGGCAAACACACCGGCCCCGCACCACCTCCTCCTCCCTCCTGGACGCTGGCCATGGCCCCGCCCAGGCTGCCATTCACCAGTGTCTGCAACGTCTCCACTGTCACGGACACACACAGAAGGAAACATCAGCGTGCAGGTCAGTAAGTGAATTATCCAGCTAACTGTGTTACAGTTCAGCTCTGCAGCCATATATCCTGGCAGGCTGCTACCGGCTCCTGTTGCTAAGCAACTATTGACAACCTATTAGCGCCACAGAGCCTCTTCACTAAAAGTTTAAACAGCTTCGCAATTTGAAATGTATAGAAACTCTGAAAAGATGTGTGCATTGCTATCAGCATACAGTGTACTGATGCAACACTGTGACCTTTCCTGTCTGGCAGATTCTCAGTAAAACACAATAACCTGAGGAGGAGAAATCACATTACTGCTGCCAATTCACATATCAAATAAGGACAATTACTGCTCCGGGCTTTACAAGGACGAGGTGAAAAAGACATTGTGCTGTAGAGTAGGTAAACTTTTACTGCTAGTTTGAAAAGTTATAATCATTACAGGAGTTTTCCTTCATTCATCCAACCTCCATTAGAGCTGCAGCCTGTTTTTCTTTGAACTGTCACAAACTTACCAAACCTGTAAACTTTAAAACAAATCCTTTGTATTTTTAACCAGCTCCAGATTTTTGTGGAACACTCTTTGCCTGCAGCGGGACTAAATAATAATGAGGAGCTGTTTCCTTACACAAGTCACACTCTGACCACCGAAGCTACTCGGCTCCTTCACAGACAAAAACACACACCAACAACAGGTTCAGCTTTTCTCTTCATTTTGTCATATTCAACTACATTTTAAGAACGGTAAGGATTTCCCAGCATACATAATCAAAATTAACGTTTCACTTCATTATTACTCAAAGCTTGATGTCACTGTGCTACAAGAGGACATCAATGGGCCCGTAAAAAGTCCAAAATTGTCTTAAATCCACATTTACTGGTAAAAATCCTTAAAACAGATCAAACTCTTAGATTATTTTTGTTTCCAATTCTTAGAACACAATGGCACTATTCATGTAACCTCTGTACAGTGAAGACAGTGCAGTTGCACTGCTGTTAAGGCCACGGTGGCTTAATTTAGGCCCCACAGCCTGCTGAGTTTGCAGTTCACTGTTAGGAATGCTGAAGATGATGAAGGAGAGGGCCTTCCAACCAGCACGCTCGTTAGTCTACGGAAATGGAAAGATAGGAAGCAGATAATCCTAGAAACTTTATTTGTGTTACGGTCTTACCTGATTTCAACTAATAGATATCAGACATCAGATGGATATGTCCATGAGAATTTTGGTCATTAATTATATCTAAAATGTTATTTAAAAGTTCTGGTTGGTTATGCAATCATTTGCTTCCATTTTTGACTGTAGGAAGGAGCAAAAACTCTCGTGGCTGCTTGATCTTTTTTGTATTTTCAGCTTTCACTAATTCTAATGCTTATTAGAATAACAAACTCCAACCCAATGATCTGTCAAAGGGTACACATGGAAAAAAGATTGGCACATCACACTGCAGCATCATGCTCAGAAGGCTCAGGCAGACATGTCTTCATTTATCCACAAGACAAACGCTATTAAGCTTTCTCCAGTTTATTCTTTTCAATTATCTAAAAAGCAAACTGTCTAATATTCAAACAGCAATTCCCAATTAAAGTAATGCAAATACAGTTTCAAGCACTTAATCCAAAATCCAAGCACTTTTCAAACCTTGAAAACATCATCTTAAAATTCACGAGTTTGCAGCACCTGCAAAATCCCTGCATGTTGTTGTTAGACTGTATCATGTAAAATCCAAAGTAAACCCATACACTTGAAATAAAGCAGTGCAAATGATACGTAAAGTGAAAGCGATACATACATATATTTCAATACCTTTAACACAGGATACAGTAATTGCTCTGAGCTCACCTCACCGCTTTCTTCTAATACACATTTGATGAACAACACTGCCAAAGCACCAACAAGCGCTGGAGTAAAATCTCAAAACGCATGCCGACTCCTTTAATATTTGCTATACACTTGAATCTCTCTCTCGGGCTATGAAGGGATCCAACTACTGAGCTCATTACATACTCAATTACATCATTTCCTTAGGGATTAATAACACGGTAGGCTCTCATCAGAAGAATTAAAATGAATAAACAAGTTTTCTTTACATACAAATTGTATATAAACTCCTTATACAAAAAGTACTGAAATTTTTACAGTGAATTTTTCCATGTGGTTGCCAAAGTGTATCCTTTTCACCTGCAGCCTCAAAAATGTGTGGTGGAATGAAAAGTGAGGGCAGAACTGTCCATATGTGCATAATTGATGAAAAATAATAAGGTGCTTTTTTAGCAGATGGCTTTATGCCTCATGTCATGACACAAGTTTTGGTTAATAATTGAAATTAGCTATACATATGAATGAGTCAGTGCTTTCTCTTCAATGAGATGTTATAATACCCTGTTTTATTCTCAAGGTGTCATTTACAAATGCGGTGTTAGGACTGCTTTGGTGTTAAGAACTCAAACCTCACTAAAAGTAGAATAGATCAAAAACTAAAAGGCGAAAAAGGGTCCGCCTGCCTCCCTATCCTCACCTATAGTCATGGTCTTTGGATAGTGACCAAAAGACTGTGGATACAAACAGCGATAATGAGCTTTTTTCGAAGGCAGAGTGGCTTGTCCCTTAGAGACAGGTTGATGAGATCAGTCGTTTGCAAGGGGCTCAGAGTAAAGCTGCTACATTTCCACATCGAAAGGAGCCAGTTGAGGTGATTTGGGGATCTGACAAGCACGTCTGCCCGATGTCTAGTACAGACGCCCACCACAGTGGATGCTAATAGCTCAGTCACACCAGAGTTAAAAATAGGAAGAAACCCGCCTTCCAACTAGGAAAAAAATATCAGTGGTTGCCCATTGATTCAATTGAATGTTTTTGCTGTCAGAGATTCATTGCAAGTAGTTGCAGCGTACAACATCCTCAGTCACCATGCGATCAGTTTTGATCACAGGTTGCCTGGTGGGAAGCAACTTGTCTCCACACAATTACAATTTGACTCAGACCGACTGCAACCACTCTGACAGGTTTGAAGGTTTGCAAGTAATTGCAATCTAATTTATATCTGATGTTTATTTTCTAACTTGTGGTATCATTTAAAGTAAAACAGACAATGAAGGGCTGGGCATGATTAGGCCATAGGTATCCTGATTGAGGAGCCGAAAACGCTTCGTTTAAGGCTTTAAAAACACAACTTCAGGATATCGCACTTACCCACTCAATCTGTTACATACCTTTCTTATATACTTTTAAGTTTGCCTAGATGATAAAATTTAAAAACGTAAACAGGATAACATGTGAAAGATGTACTTTATGTTCATTGTGTAACAATGTTAGTATACAAGCCTCTCACTGTGTTTTTTTCGTTCATTCAAATTTTTTTCTCAGTATATTCAATGAATATACTGAGACAGCACAGCACAGCACACATCTTAGAAACCCGTCTTTCTTACCTTCCTGCAGGGCATCTTTCATGATGGACGCCCCCCCAGGCGGCTCCAGGCTGCAGGGTGACCTGAAGAAAGGTTGGACCTGCCGACAGGCCTCCTCGCCTGGGCTCACGCCCTCCCACATCCCTCTGAAAAGCCGCACCTTCTCCTCCAGCAGAGACATGATTTCTGTATCCTTTTGCCTCAACAGTTCTGACCAGCAGAGACAGACGGACAGGAAGACACAAAGACAAACAGTGAGAAATCTCAGGCAAATGTGTGTGCGTGTGTGCTTGCTATCATACAAACTAATTTAATAGATTTCTCTCACCTCTCATTTCCTTTGCTTTAGTCTCTAGCTGTCTCTTGTCATCTTCTGTCTCGCTGGGAATCCCTTCATCCTCATCCTTGTCCCTGTCCAATAAAGAAAATAAAGATGATGTACAACATCCCATAAATTAGACAGGATTAAAAACCAACAAACAACCAGAAATCTACATCACTTACAGTGTACAAGTGTTTAATCAATTAACTGGAGTTAAATTATTCACTAAAGTTTTGGTAATTAAAAACTTAAAAACAGTATTCTGAAACATTTTCATTAATTTGCAACATTTTACAGATTTCTAGACTTCTTAAAAAGACGAGTCATGAAAATAACCATTAGCTTCCCTCCCACAGGACAACAGACAAGTCTCCCAAAAGTTTGAAGCACATGGTGTTTTTAGTTCAAGAGAAAAAAAACAGAAGCCATAGCCTTTAAAAAAAATAATAATAATTTCTGCCAATAGCATGATCTCCATTTGTGCTTTGGCAGAAGTCAGACTGCGAGGGAGACAGAGTGCCTAATCTCTCTCCTTCCCACTGGCTGCATTCAAATAATCCTCTGCTTATGGCGAGCTGTCCTTGAAGCCAAACCAGCATTAGACTGTCCCTGAGTACATCCTATCCCCAGGTAGAGTAGTGCTAATCCTCCTGACAGCACAGTGCTCTGTCCACAGAACTGGGCTTGGTCTAACTCGTGGTTTACATCACAGATGGACGGGTGATGAACTCTGAGAGACAGAGCCCTTAATGTAAAGCACAGTGGAGGCAGAGTTTCTTCTGCAGAAAAGGTTACAGGTTATGGTAAACCAGGAAAGATCGGGGTCTAAGCTTGCTCTAACATGTAGATTACAAGATGCAAAAATAATTGTGTGTCAAGTACATTAATATATTTAGTCTTCATATGTTTTAAAATAAAAACACTGACGTGAATTCTACTCACATAGACTGCATGGCTTCCTGGATGAGCTGCATCCAGGTGTTGCGTTCGTCTTTCGAGCTGGCCAGGACCTCCATCATCTCCGGCTTCTCTATGCCTGCCGTGATGAGGAAGAGGCCGCGCTCTTCGTTAGCGACCTCCCTGACAATCAGCTTCTGGAGGGAGATGACGGTGGAGCGCTGATCCTGCAGGGAGAGAGGCAACATGGGAGGAGAATGAAAAAAGAGAAGGAAAAAAAAAAAGAGAGAGGAGAGATGATAAGGGGAGGGCCAGGAGGGAGGAAAGGGGGTGGAGGGAAAACAAATGGTGAGGATCAGGGAAGAGGATGGAGAAGGCAGGAAGAAGGGTGGGCTAAAGCAGAGGAGGAAAAAGGATAATTACAGGAGAAAAGCGTAAGAGAAACAAAGACAAAGGGATGAATAGGGATCACAGACACAAAGGGGAAAATGAAAAAATATGGAATAAAGAGAAAAGAAGGAGCCAAATTGACATTCTGGCTAATTTTATGATTATCATGGCTGTCGGCTGATTCACAGAGCCTCTGCTAACCTTGCATTCTTAAGAGTGCCAACACTGTAAAGCACATTTTAGTACACCACAAACCACTGCATCATTTCTTTTCAAACCAGTAAAACTCCAAAGCTGTAACCACATCCCTACATTTTTTCTCCAACCACTTGTCTGAGGTTTAAAGAATAGGTTGAGTTTTTTTCCTGTGTGTTTGTCTTCCTGGTGTGACTACATTGTAAACAATAGGAAGAAAATCCACAGCACACGTTCTACAGTTTAAACCAAATCAAGTGAGTATTTTAGAGGGGAAAAAATGTTGTTGATGCAGCTCAACAAGTGGAACAGAAAGATTGAGTTTGCACTAAAAACACTCCACATTCAACATGAAGAGGGGGGAACTATGCATTCCTACATCAGTCACCTAAACATAAGTGCAAATTGTCACCTTTAATTGGAGACTTTCATCAAAAATACTGCAATAACTGCTAACTGCAGTCTTTATCAACAGCCGTCAGTCTGCAGGAACTTATGTGGGCTATTTCTCAGACACTTCTTTGTCAGTTAAACCGATAAAAGGTCTGGAGATTTAAATGTGGCATTTGCATTCAGAAATCCCACAACATGCAACCCAGAAGAGCTCGCAATACTATCTTTAAGCTGCAAAAGCAAAACTAACGCATCAGAGAGAGAAAGAGGAGGAACATTACAAGAGACCAGATCAAGAGCTTTGGTACGTGTGGATGGGAAAAAAAAAGAACACACAGCTACATAAAAAGGCCTTGATGTCCACAGAAGAGAGCAGTAGTGGATGATCACAGGATCCTTTCCATAGCAAAGAAAAGCAACCAAGCAGAAAGACTCCAAAAACACAAAAACAAAAACCCAACTGAAGACAAGACAGAAACCAGGAAAAATATTTCAGAGGAAGTATTTTCTTTGTGATGATCATTGGTTCCAAGCTTTAGGCAGTCACTGACTGAAAGTGTTTAACATGCTGCTAATTTGTCCAATTACATGTGAGTTTGAACTACAACGGCTACCATTCCTGTGCAGTTTATGTAACTTTTTTTCCCATCAACCCATGAGAAAAAAAGCACTTTAGCTTTGTTCATTTTTGGGCTCCCAGCTTCAAGCTGTGGTGATGATGCACACATCACGCTAAATAGAATAGAGCATGGCCACCACATCTCTGCGCCAGCAAGCTAAGAGCACTGAATGCAACAAAATAGAAAGCTGAGGTGTATTTACTGAGTGTGTAACCATTTCCTAAGAGACAATTTCTGCTTTCAAAGTAGATCATTTCTGCTGTCATTTTGATGTTTGAATCGTCATTCCAGCAAAGATATGGAGCCACGGACAGAAGAGAGCATCTTTGAGGCCAGCCTCAGAGTAATGAAGTAAAAGCAGGCAAATTTTGGAGCCATTGTCACAGC